TGGCAAGCGAGGCTAAGGAATCGTAAGACCTACTCATGGCATTGCGGGACATTTCAACTATCGCCGAGGACTTCTTTGCACTATTCAACAGTCTTCCCCATGCGGCAAGCCTCCTTCGGTTTCCGGTGAGACCACATCACCAATTCCTTCCAACCAACTTTCCCTTTAAAATGTAGTCATCCCACAAGGCGATCCTTGGTGAAGTGTCGTGAAGTAGAGACGATGATGATAATGACGATACTGCAGAAGACGATGAAGGAGACGTGGACAACAGGGATTACGAGGATGACTATACTTTCGCTACTGCTGATAATAATGCTTATCACAAAGAAGATGATGATGCTGACGACAGTGATGATAAGAAACAGAATAGGCCGTGAGGCGATTTGGGAGAGAGATCTGAGTTCCTACAGAATGAATGAACTAGGCCTCGTGATGCTATTGAATTTCAATCAGCATTGCCTCCCAAAAGACCATCTGATCCACCCTAGACTGGCTGCAGTTTAGACACCGCCTGGGGCGAAAGGTCTATTCAAGAATTCGTGAAAGACTCGATAACTACTTATACCAAGGAAGCAAAGATGTATTTGCTATAGCAACTAAATTTTTTCCCTAATATAAATGGGTTTTCGAGTCTGCCAATGGATTATATTTAGGAGATGTATTCATCTTATTTTGTTAAGAGGGTAGTTCAATTTTCCTATCACTATTGCTGTATCAAATACACCTTTCCTCATCGAAAATCCCATCCCAGAATGTCCTGCGACGGCGATGAAACTGTGCTCAGAGCAGGAATCTATACTTCACGAAAGAGAGTAAAAGTATGCTAAACGAAGAAAAAAAAAAGCTTTTTTAATAATAGTGGCTAGGGTTGCAGCCGGCCCCCTTTTCTCTTCGTTTAGCATACTTTTGCTCTATTTCGTGAAGTATGAATTCCCTATCTGGTGATGTCTGTCACGATGGTACAGACGAAAACTTAGCACAGTTTTATCGCGGTCGCAGGACGGTGAGCCGATGACTTTTTCGCACTATTCCACAGTCTTCCACACGCGGCAAGCTTCCTTCGGGTTGCGGTGAGACCATATCACGAATTCATTCCAACCAACTGTCCCTTCCAAATGGACAGTCATGCGACAATATTTCATAAAAGGAATTCTTCTGCACTGACAGTGCCCGTTGCACCGAGTCCCCCACTAGGCGTACACCCTTCCAACGGGATTCCGACCATTCTCTTCGCCCCCCACCCTTCGTTCGAGGCGCCCCGGTGACAATGGAGAAGAGGAGGTCCAAGACGCACGCAGGGCCGCCGGTGACGACGGCATAGTCTCCAGTCTCAACCCACCAGGAGGCCCCCAAGCGGGTCTTCTTCGATGCGATACGTGTCCCGGCCGGAGCGGAAAGTGGTTGTTGGTACGTCATCCGCGACCTTCTCTTCATCCTTTTCTCTGCCCCACCCTACTTGCTGTTATAGCACATGACGTCGTGCCTCCGCAGACACTCAACGCCCAGTCCTTCGTTGTCCGTGAGCAACGCGTGTGCGTTGTTGACTCCTCCTTTCCGTCTGGCCGTATCCGCGCCAACACACGAGCCGCTCGTTGCCCCTTTCCACTCCATCCCTCGGTGAGATTGCAGCATCACCTGCTCAGGGGGTGAATGTTTATGTTTAGGCATGTGGGCGCGACTGATGGACAGGTGTTTATAAAGCCCGTCTCCCCATTGCCTGGGGATGCCTCTTAACAAGACCCTCTTGATTGCTGCCAATTTTGCCGGATTTTCAGCCTCCGGTAGCGGAGATTCCCATCCTCCGGACGGTTCCCACCTCGTTTTGCCTTCTCGTCTGCATGGTCGTCTCTTCTGACGTGACGGTCGCGTTTTTATGCCTCCACTTTTGCTTTCATCTCGTCTCGCAGCCTCTTCGTGCTGACTCTTTTGGTCGCTGTTACTCGGCCACTCCGCGGGCTGCATGACGCAGACCCTTGACTCGGCCAAATGTGAAATGTCAACAGAGTCAGCTGCTTTCTTCAACAATGCTCCAACTCTGCCGCCACTGCCGGTTTCTGACAATCCCGACCTCACCGGCCTCGGCTGATGGTCTCCGAGGAGAGACGCAAAACAGACCGACTGATGAGCGCCTGCTGAAGTGTAGACGGCCACATGTCGGAGGCATACGGCAAGCCGGTGTCCCAGGCTTCAGCTCCTTTTAGTACAACCCCCTGCCCACTCACAACGCCCCACCTTCGTAGGCCAAGTTCGCCTGAATAGGATACAGAAAGTGGCCTGATTTGGGTATGTTTCGAAATTATCAAAGAAACTTGGATGAACATTTGCTAGTTGGATGATGCCGAGTAATCACAATTAGTTTTCGTTTCTAAATAGACTTTCGAGACTAGAAGTAGATCATATACATGAGATGGGTATAGTCTATTCAGTTGGTATTACCGAAGGACCGGTCGTTGAATTTGTCCACGTTTCCATTAACTTTCACATAGCCTTGATTATCAAAAGGTATTCTCATCCCGGCTGGAGTGGACTGCATTCTTCACCTCGCCCAGGTCTCAACAGCACCTCTGGCGGGACTCGAACCCAACGTATAATCTCTACGCTACATCGTCACGAGGGCAGATGTTACTTTCAGGGACGTCCAGGCGTTTCCCAATGTGTCATTCTGGGATGGGATTGTCGATGAGGAAAGTGTATTTGATACAGCAATAGTGGTAGGAAAATTGAACTACCATCTTAAAAAAATAAGATGAATACATCTCTTAAATATAATCCATTGGCAGACTCGAAAATCCATTTATATTGGGGCAAAAATTTAGTTGCTATAGCAAATACATCTTTGCTTCCTCTACAATTCAAGCACAGAATGTGATATGGAAAAATGCCTGGCCTACCTTAAAATTTACATTTTTCCTGTGACCCAAGGGTACTAATGGCAGTTTTGCGTAGTTGTTTCATTGTCAACTCGAGTTCGGAGCCCGCTGGTGGGGCTGATGAGACCAGTTGTGGCGAGATCGAAACTGCAGTCCACCCCAGTCGGTATGTGAATACCGTTATAGAAGCAATACCATGCGAAAATTAATGGAAGCGTAAGGTGTGTTTTTATGATTGTGGTAAAATTCAACTGCCAGTCTCCCATCATCTTAACGAAAAATAATGAATACATCTCATATAAACTACCACTTAGGACGATTTGTCCTCCTTGTGTCAAATTTCTCGAGAAATCCGTTCGGAGTCCTCGACCTGGAGTCCTCATGCTAACCTCTAGCCTCAGACCATTGACTTAATTGAGTCTAAGAATTTCGTTTGCCTATTTCTTTGACAAATTTTAACTTGCTGTTAAGGCTAGCTCCTCCCACTGACGATGACGGCGAGACGTATGCAAAGGTATACAATAAACGTCCGACACTGAAAATTATCATGAGTGCTAGTGAGGTCTCCAGACAGGTGAGGTCGTTCTGAAAGCATTACCAAGTTTCACAAACGACACTCCAACTTGAATGAGAAAAGCAAGTTGGGGTGACAAAGTTCTTCTTAAAAACGTATATCCGACTACTTATAACCAAAATAAGTAGCATTGACTTGATACTAAATGACATATCAACCTGGATTCAAAGCATGTTGGAACTGCTGATGCGGCGCAGACTAGGTCGAAATTGCAACCAAGCTTGGGTGGGAAAAACCTTTTCGAGAGACACAGCTAAGAAAAATTCAATGAAATCGTGAGATATATTCATTGCATTCGAATTCGAATTCCACTAGTAATCCTTAAATCATCTTTAGGGACCTAATGTAACGAGTTTATTAGTAAAAA